GAGAGAGAGAGAGAGAAGGAGAGCACTGCTATGCCACTAGAGCTCTGCCCTTCACACAAGATCAATTAGTCTTACACGGATGTTTGAGGGCTGGAGGTTCTCATCCTGAAGAAAATTAAAACTGTTAATAATCTGACATCTAGATCAAACAACGCTGTGTTTTTGTGATTTCCCCCTTTATTAGGAAGAGTGCATGTTTTTCATTTTATTCTTTTATTCCCTTTAACTGACAGCAGAAGAATGACAGGAGAGAGGAGTCTTCTTCTTTTGTATTTTTTTGTTTGCTGCACTTCACATACTCAAAATCTCTCTTCTGCTCTCTTTATAATGTCACCTTTATACTTCTCCTTGACGTTCCCCTTTCTACTTTTGTATTGCTTTCTTGCCACATCATAATCACTTCATCTACTTTTAAACATGAAAACCTTTAGGTCCTAACTTTAGCTTGCCAGCCCAGATATCACACTGCATCTAGAGGTTTGAAGACATTTAGCTCGGCAGCTGGAATAAAGTTAAAGAATAAAGTTCAATTCAAAGGTTATAAGGTCCCAAATATCAGTCAACTGATTATATTTGTAAAATTACTTTTTTAAATATTTTTTTTCTGAAATATACAATAAAATTCCATAAACAATGTTAAACACAGGACTCTGATGCCTGTCCACAAAACATGATGATCAGAAACCATAAACCCCAATGCAACAACAAAACTGTCTTTAACATCTAATCAGCGATGTGTCAGAGCAGATATGCTGGCAGAGAGAGCTCAACGCACTGCAACACTTCTTCTATGTCACCCGCACACTTCCACTATGTTCTTTATGACTGGCAGTAGTTGCAGGGCATTTCTGTAAGATGTCTTATCAAAGTACTGAAAGTCTTTCTAAACTTGCTTTGCTTTTGTTTGTACATTTGCCTGTAATTTCCAAAGAGCTCTCTCAGCCATTGCTGATTATAACCCAAAGTTTCTTTCAATCTGTTACACTCCATCATGTCTCCTTTATACTAACTTTCAAAATGAACCCTGTTGAGCTTTATGTCCCCTCCAGAAGGGAGGATAACAAAACAAAATCCTTGTCTACTTTACCAAAATCCAGTGTTTTGTGAAATCTCCTCAGTTCAATCTCCAGTTCAAACTCAAAAACAAGCAAAGGATCCATTTTATACCTGCGTAATAGATCATTAAACACATTTTTCCCCATTATATTCTACACTTTCTATGCATCACATGGGTCTCTGCAGGTAATCAGTCTAAGAATATCCTCTCTTTCAGAGGGTTAAAAACGATGGAGCTTGGTCTAAAATGCCGCCTGGAAGACTTTGTTCCAACTACGAAGGCATCACATATGAGTAGCAGCTCAAATCTTTGAAGTAATAATCTACATTGGTAAAGACAGTTATGCAAGTGTGCCTTCACTATGGGAGTTGCACTTCACATGCACTCTGGATGAGTTACTCTTTTCCTCACACTGCTGTCTATGCTGGAATCAGGAGGGAGAAAGTCTCTCCATCCAAGGGAATATTAACATTTAAAGGCAGAGGAAGTTTAATGCCCCTTAAATCTGAGAATATATGAGCCATCCATCCATGGATGAAACGTATATGTTTTAGTTTTCCCCATACAGTAATGTCCTACCTCAGAGACTCACCTGTATACTGGAAGGGTTTTCTCTCCATATCCCACAGCTTTCTCCCAATTTCCCAAGTGAATGGAAGCATCTAGAGCCATGTCTGTCATCTTGAGTTTATACAGATTTTCATCAGGCACTTTACCACCAACAGTTGATAACAGATGACTCCAACTCTCTTGTAGTGCTTGCCAATCTGAAGGGACACTTAAGGAAAAGCAATGTTTATACTGGACACCCAATAAAATGTTTGTTTATTTCATTTTGTGTAAGGACTCAGCTTTGAGGATTATGTTTAGATACATAATTATTTACTTTCCCTCCATTCCGTGATTACATGATTAAAGTTGTTAAAGGCCAGATTTATGTACATGGCAGCAGTGCACAATTTGATCTGCACCTGTAAATCAGGTCCTAAATCTTAACTGCCATCCAATGTTGGTTTATGGTAAAGTTTCTCTCTGAATAGAAACATTAATATTTACAGACAAATGTTAAAAAGTTGCACATTAAGTTGTGAGATTAGACTCCTTCCATGTGTATCCAATTCTTTTTATTTTAATTTATTCACTGACTTTGCTGGTTACTGGATTTATATATACCACCTCAACCTTAGGTATAGCAGCCATCAACATCTGAAACTTTGAAACTTGCAATATACCAGTCACAACACAGTGCTTATGAAATGTTGGCAGTGGAGAGATCCTTTACTTATAATATAATCATCATCCCACAATACAGCAGATGATGGATGATGACAGTGCTCAGTGTTGGCTACAGTGGATCTTGGAGGTAAAGGATACTTGACTCTGCTTTCAGAGCTTCCAGTCTGGGTAGAGCCTCCTTCAGCAGGCGGCATGTTGATTTCTCCCCTGACAGCATGAGTCTGTCCTGGCAAAGAGAGAAGGACCACCTGAATATCCACACACTGACTAAGTAGACATAAATGTCTGAACAAACACACTCATGTTCATACTTGACCTACGAGCAGGCACATATAGGACTATTATGAGGAGTGGATGGAGTGAAAAACACAAAAAAGCAGATACAATAATAGAGAGAGTATATTCAAATTCGACTGTTAATATGTGAGTTTATGTATATCTTATCGCAGCTAACTCACAGCTGACGACAACCCAAAATGAGAAATGCTCAGTGATCTGGTTAGTGTCTGGTCTGGTTTAAGTATTATTTAGAGCATAAATAAAACTTACCAACCACTATTGTGGATGTAGATATTTACATGCCTGACTAATAGTAGACTTTTTCTTGCCATGTGCATTAACACATGCACAACCTACAGGCATATGTGCAGACAGAGAAAAACAACACACTAACACCATCTCCTGGGTTTGATGTCAACAGTCATCTGTCGCTATGACAACTTTGGGTCACAACCCAGCAGCTCGCCATCATCATCTGAAGATTAAAGAGAAAAAGGGGGAACGACAGAGAGTGTGTGTGTTTGTGTTGTATATGGAACAAAGGTGGGTTGAATAGACACACACAGACATTGGTGTGTGACTGCACCACATTAGAGTGCTACTGTGTTGCGGTAGAGTAAGACCAAAGTATCATAGACGGCATATGGAGAACAAAGCTAGAGGCAGAAGTGAAGGCAGTGAAACAAGAAGAAGAAGATAGAGAGGAAAATGAAAACATACAAAGTCAGAGTAAGACAGTGAGATACTGGAACGGAAATACTGAGAGGATGAAGATGGATGGAAAAGAAAACTGTAGCTGAAAGACAAGATAATTTTTCTCATTTCTCAGTAGATGGTCAGAGGGGGAGACAAGGGCAGAGACAGAGAGGTGTGAAGAGGTGGAGCATGACAGAGTGATGGAGAGGAATAGGAGGACAGCAGGAGATAAGACAGAATGTGAAAGTGAAGGAGGAAAAAGGAGGAGAGGACAGGAAAAGGGTACACTGTAACATGTTATGCACAGATGACTAAGCCAACAGCGGCACGGCGGAGGTGTGTGTGTATGAGTTTGTGTGTGTGAGTGAGAGAGTGTGAGTG